TTCTCTCTCTCTGTTTCTCTCCCGCCGCTCTTTGTTTCTCTTCCTTTTCTTTCTATTTTACGCGTTTCCCCTCCCTGACGAGCATATACCTATCCATTACACGGTTGTTTCCCAGTCCTCCCTGTATCGCCCTTTAAAAGCCTTACAATGCGTCATCACCGTCGTTTCGCTACTGCTCAGCCCTGGAGTGCCCTACAGTCGTACAAAAGGATATAATCGCAACCCTACAATAGAATAGAGTTCGTTTGGATCATAATAATTCCAATTGGAAGGAACGAAACGACGGAGTGGTTCAAAGGGCGTGCACGAATGTCTTCCGAGAGTGCCGGGCCGTTGCTTGCGAAACGAAACACACACCACCGACGGATTCGGCGTTTCAACCGCGACTGTTCTAGATTATAGAATACCGTGTACAAGGGTTGAGTTGGCATCGGTGCAACTCCAGACGACGCGAGCTCGATCAGAACGAAATTTTCGACAGTGTTCTTTCATTTTTAATTTTAAATACGCTACCTTTGACGAAGCTGATTTATTTCTATTCCGAATCACGGAAATTTTTCAGCGTTTTCTGGTTTTCAAGTTTATATACGCAATCTTTGACGAAACTTTTTCTATTCCAAATCATGTATTTTTGTACAATTTCATAGTTAGGTGATTAACCAAGTATCGATCTTCAACTGAACTTTAATAATTATGTACACTTGTATGCCATGTGACGATAGAAAAACCAAGAAGTTCCCGAGAATTCTTCTTACTACTCTTCCAAATACTTTTACTTAGAAAAAAATAAAATTCAAGGAATACATATTCCATACTTGTCTAAAGGCCTCCATACACGTTGAAACTTGCAGACAACTTGATACTATAAATGTTACTATTCGATTCTGAAAGAAATGTAGGACCGAAATATAGAACCGAAGAATGACGGATATAGAACTGCAAAATGCTTAAATCTGCCGCTCGCAGCGATGCCTGCATCGCCTTTACATGTAAATGGAATGAAACTTGACCGGAAATAGGCGCTAGCATCCGCGAGGAAAGACGTCGGCGGAAACGGGAAGTCGAAGTATCTATAGGGGACAATTTTAACCTCGGATAACTCAAGACGTCCTCGTAAAAATACATTTCCCCGATTATTAGGGGGTTGGGACGGGGGTCAAGGGGCAGCCAGTGAATCGCCGGACCTCAAAGGTCGTTTCGCCCGATGAATCCCCCGAAAACGCGTGGCGGACCGATCGCCTTTCGATCGAACGGTAATTCACTTACAAGTTAATAATGGGAAGGGGCGCGGTCCGTCCATTTATCTGCGGGGAACGAGGGAACCGGAACGATCGGGAGAGAATGCTCGTCCCGTTGTTCGGACTAGCGGATTTCATTTCGCTGCTGGCCACTAAGAAGAAAACGGGAAACTTTCGTTGACCTCCTTCACCGAAAATCTCATTCGTGTTCTGTTCTATCTACGTCTTGGAACGATCATGCCAGTAATTCACCACGATTTGCATGGCGCGACGATATACGTAGTCTTTGGTTTTATTTTCTGGGAACTCTAGCTGAGAGTCTAGGTTTTCGGTTAGTCGAGGATCGAGGGAATAAGTCGATTCATTCGATCGTTTTGGAGAGAATGAAAATGTAATATGTTTAGGTAGGTATTGGGGAATTATCTTGTGCGAAAAATTTGTCAATTATTATGAATAATTAGGAATCTTTATATGAATTCAATTTGTTGGTTTTATTCGAGGAAAGCGAAGTTGAATAAATGTTTATTCTTTCTGTCAATGATTTTGTGAAACATGTGTTTTAATATAAATTGTTGTACTGTAAAGATACAATAAGAATTTTTCATATGAAATGGAAGTTTCATTGATTTACAACATCAACTCAGACTCTTGACGAGAATTTGAAACTGAACTTGAGAAACCTAAGTGTTACTTATTTGTTTTAAATGTAAATTAAATAATACTTTGCTATTATTAATCGTTAACCTTCGGCGTAAACGTAGGCATAGAATAAGCATCAAAATGTTTTCTTTTCATAATAAATTCTTAAGGATAAAGTAGTTATATCGATCGTAGTTAAGAAATAGAACGTAGAGCAAGAGGTTAAAAAATAATTTGTATCAGAATTCTGTATGTCGTAAGTTTAGACGCCATACGTTTGTTCGTTTGTTGTCATTAGTTTTCTAAATCAATCAGGTAATCAACACGAATAAAATGATTTTATGTAAAGAAGTTATTTTCAATGCTTGAAACCTTAATCTGATATTTGATAAGAACAATGGCCTTGAATTTACGACCTAATATTTAGGGTGCCATTACAAAATGATGGAAACACGGGTACAGCATCGTCGAAAAGTTTTCCGTTTTATTCACTGCATCACGCCAGGTAGCTGGGTCGAATTAATCTATGGACTTCACGATTTAATTTTTTAATGTTGGTAATGACGGGGACCGACACGTAGAGCCACTTATTTAAAGCTATCGATCGACCGTGGGGGAAGGATAATTTTTGGGCGTGCCGGTGAAAAGTCGAGGGGTCCGCTCTCGCGTGATTAGTGACGAACGTAATAATCGTGAAGGTCATTCCGTGCAATTGCTTTGGCAAAATCGCCGTCGATTGGCTCACGCGTCACTGCTCGCCGCTCTATAGCGCGTCATCATTTTTTTTTCTTTGTGCCCTTGTATACCCTTCATTATCCTCCTAATGGCGCGACAATTAACGCGTTAGCGACGCGTGCGTGGAATATTTGATTCTTATTCGCGGGAACTGATTGTTGGACATTAGAGAATCGTTTCTTCTTTCTCTTTTATTAAATTTCTCTATTATTATTTGATTAACCCCTCGCGCTCGAGAGGTGACTCTTAGTCACCACCAGATTTGAGACAGAATAATTGTAATTTGATGTGTTATATTATGCTTTGTATAATACATCGATATGTGAAATATCGAAATAAAACAGTTTTGTTTTTTAATTTATGTACGTTTTATCTTTAGTTAGTTTCAAAGACTGTCGTTTATATCTCATTGAAAAATGTCGAATGTTTCTAGTGAAAAACTTTCGAATACAAAGGGTTAATTTACAGTAACATATTTTTTCCATTAAATATGTACTGCTAGATCACTTTATAGCTAGGCTGAGGAATTTGATTGATTAATCAGTTTTCATTTTTTCTTACTCAATTTTCTATTGGTTTTATTTCTTAATTCCTGATATTTTCGATCACTAATTTGCTATTTATCAACACGGTTGCACGTAACCGATCAAAACTGTCAAACTATAAACAAAAGAAAGACACCTTTGGCCGCTCTGCTGTTTCGCTAAATATCAAGCCATCTCCCAATTGTACTTACATTCGATTTGGTTTACATGAGTGGTCGTTACGTATATTTTATTGTTGAGGCATTATAATATCATTCAATTCATTTTTGGGTTACTATTATCGTTGTTATTATTATTGAGGTATTAATTAAAATTATTATTGAAGAATATTATTGAAAATATTATTATTGAGATATACAATTTTAATGTACAAATTCAGATTACAAATTGTTTCAAGCTATCGGTTATATTTGCTTTCTCCTCGCGATAGACGAAAAAAGTGAAGAGCTTTAACTTCTCAAGAATATCTACCTACTACATACCAGGCTGCCTGAGGTGGGTGTGCGTGTCCAGTGCTGATTTGGATAGGCTGCTTCCGTATCCTGAAACAGAATAGTCGAAGCTTAATTATGTTGCATACTTTTTTCTTCATTTCATTTTATTTTAAAACCGACAAAGGTTTTAACTAAGATAACATTTTCTTTATTTCCTTACGATTAGACTACGAATTGTTTATTTGAATATATCACAGATTAAATGTCACTAACTTTAGTTTTTGAATTCTTTTAAATTTTTAAAATCTGGACATAGTTCTTTATGTATATGATTTCATTAACATTTTCTACTTTTCGTTTTGTAAAATTAATCAGCGATTAATCGGTGATTAATAATCATTGTAATAAGTACATGCTCCTTTATACAGATATCGTCATTACTAATCGGCACTACACATGTTTGTGGCTAACTTTGAAAGTTGATTTCGATTCGTTCCATCATCGAATACATCGTTTAATTTGGCCAAGCCCCGTAAAATTCTGTTTCCACAATTCAAACGCTGTTCGCTAAACTATCCATTACCGTTTCGCTCGCATATCAAAGCGTCTCCGCTTTAATTGACCGCTCGCGGCGCGTTAATTTGCACCGCCGAGCAAACACGGTAGGACCATGCTCGTCGAAAATCAGTTTCGGAGCGGCCATTTTGAAGATCATTTAACCTTCTACATTCTATTTGCTACCAAACAAAAATCTATTTATTAAATGAAAAATTCAAAATATGATTTGTATGTTTTCAAATGGCAAATTATAGATTGGAAGTAAATTATTTAAACAATTAAATGCTTTAGAAAATAGTTAAAAATTAACACAGAATTCCCATTTCAAACGTCAACGATAAAATTATCTCCATTGAGCATACTTTGAAAAAAGTTCTAAATAAACGGATTAATCATCGAAGGCCAAGCTTCAATTCTTCATCAATTCTTCTCTATATATTTTCACTAAATCCAATCCAATCAACTGATAATTACCGGGATCTATTTGTAAAAAGATGTTAAGTTAAACAAAATACTTTGATAAATTTAAATCAAAATAAACCCAGGCACCCTTATCGAAAAGTAATAATACATTCAGAACAATCAAAAAATTCATTACATATTCATAAATATTCAGTACATTCATTCGGATAGACTTTAATTCATTCGACTTGCTGATTAGCTCCATGGTTAGTTGCAGATGTAATGTAGTGAAATAAAAAAGAAAAAAATTCGCATAGATTCAATACACAACGAAACCCCCTTGCGAAATAACCGAAAATAATCTGAAAAAAGATAAAGAAGAATCCCCGATAAAAGAAATTCAAGACGGTGGACGTGGAATGTTCGACTCCGTTCGTAGCGTAACAAGGGAAAATCGTCGGCCGATCGAAGATGAAAAAGCGCGAAGCTCGGTCGAGCGTTAGAATCCGTTAGAGAGGATTTCCGTGTAGGCAAACACAGGGTTGAGTGCTCCGTATACGTTTTCTCTCCCCCGTTTTCCCGTTCCGACGGCGCAGCGTCTCGTTTCGGTCTCCTCCGCCTTATCAGGGTCCGGCTGGGCACGGCCAAAACCGAATCTTCCTCTTGCGTATACGTGCGGGGAAAACGCTGTCCGCCGGTCACGTTCGTGCGCTGTGCAATCTGTTTAAGGTACAATGCCTCTTAATTTCGCCTCGTTACACGCTCTCGTTACGGGAAATCCCGTCTGTCGCGATCTAACGACCGGTATCGCTTGACCGTGGTCTTTCGATCTATCGTCGGGAAAGAAAACAACTGTAATTGCTTTGAAATTGAAAGGATATTGAGATCCGGGGCTGAGAAGATTGACGGAATTGGTTAATTCTTGTATTTTTCATTATGAATATGTGGCATATTCATGTTTCCTTGCGTTGAGGTGTTTAATCTCTTGCTGCGCAAGTTTCTTCGTGATTATTCCCGGTTGACTCATTTTGCTTATCTATTACGATTGTCATTCACTTAATGCCGAATTCTATTTTGATCAAATTCTCCGAAAATCACAAACAAATAGCTAAGAAAAGAAATATAAAATTAACGTACACAAATGAGGACAGCAGAAACAGGTATTTCGTATTTATCAGCTAAAATAAATGAAAGTTATTTTATACCAAGGTCATAATACTAACACCTTGCTGATTGGTCACGAGTTTAGAATCGTTCACAAATTAAGTTATATTTTGCTTTACTGATTTTTATCTAAAGGTACTATAGGTATTTATAAAAGCGTTATAGATTGCATCTGCTAGATTAAATTGTTTCAATCCTTTCAACATATATGTAAATAAAGTACATGTGTATATTGCAATTTAAGGGAATAATTTTCGACCAAAAATACCGGTCAACAAAATGTTATACAATTATAACACCTTAATACAAGAGTTATACAATTTGAAACTATCGTATCAACATAGAAAGCAATCCACAAAAACAAGTCACCGAAGTGGATAGTTAAAAGGAAATTTTATTTTCGAGCCTTTCGCGGTGGCCCAATTACGTAAATAAATGGAGTCCGTGTTTCTTTCGCTGCCGGTCGCTCCGCAGGCATCCCAGGCATCCCGGTCCCGTATTGTGCGAGGCAGATGCCACCTCTAAATAGCAGTTGGTGTCCGCTGTGTTAAACAATTTGATTTCGTCTCTGATTGGGACGCAGGGCGTCCTCGGATGAGGGCGAGAGAACGCCTCGGGTCCGGGTCGTGGGGTCTTTGTCCGCAATCAGCGTAGCCGCGGGGCTGCGACTACACGTCTTTCGTTCGTTTCATGTTTAGAAGGCGAACTCCGATGTCCAGTCGCAATTGTATTGTAAGAATAGCGTCGTTCTTCGAAACATCACAGAAACACGTCAACGACAGTGCAAATATTTATTTTTTACACGCTGGGACTCGCGGAAAATGTAATAATGGAGAAATTTATTTGACCCATTTGAATCATCAGCGAAAGTTAGCTTCTGTAATAATTTGTAGGTGATTAATAGTTAAATATGAGATACTGGAATATTGGCTAATATTGATACTAATATTAATACTGATAAGTTCATTGAAATGATTTTGATAGTCCTTCATTAATTACATATGAACCCTATGATCTTCATTTTATATCTATTTTCCATTTTCTTCAACTGTCGTACACACACTTAACACTGAAACTAATTTCAAAATGAACCATCTAGAATTTCTTATTTCACAATTATCAAAACTGTGAAGATGATATTGTGAAAAATTATAAAGCAGATCTGTGTATTTGTATGAACATATCAGAGTATCAGGCGCTTCAAATCTTGAGAAACTTTCCATTTTTCTAAGACATTATAGAAAAATCACTTTAATTGCTCGGTAGATCTAATATTAAACAACAATACTACCAATCTCAAAACTCGCGTTTCCCTGCATTCTGCAAAGTCACACGTATCATATACACGTATTCTAACCCCAACAACCAAACACAAGAAATCCGATCAGCAATCGGAGCATCGGAATTCCCAGGCAATTCCTTTCCATACCTCAGTCCTATCTATCATCCTCATAGACGTTCCATTTTCCGCGAGTGCTTTCCGCTCGGTCGACTATAATCGTGGCCGTAATCATATTCAGAAGCGATCCTCCGCCAGGACGAGTCTCTGTCGCAGCGAAGTTCTGAAGGTCACCGGGTGAGCATCAAGGATCTTCCTCTCTCTCTCTCTCTCTCTCTCCTTCCTCTTCGCGAACGGATAGATACACACGGGGTACATACGTCAGACGTCGCGTCACCTCGAATCGACGTGTTCCCATTGTCACATCGTATATCTGCGCATTCACGAGCAATTACTCGGGGGCGGGGTAATCCCGTTAGGCAGCGCGCAGTTTCCTCCGCGGCCGAGAGCGGGGGTGGCTGGATCAAAGGACCCGCCATTCCAAGCTGCTGCACTCTTTGGCCGTTCCAAGCTGAGTACAATGCCGTGCGCGACGGGGTTCGACAAAGGGGCGGTGAGGCGATGGGTAGGGCCCGAGTTTCTCGCGCTTCCGCGACTCGGGCTGAAACTTTTGGGCAACTTCCAAATGCGCGGTTCGGTTCGCGGTGTTTCGTTCCGACGGATGGGACACGCGATTTTGCAGCGATCTGGTAGTCCACTGCTAGAGGTAGTTAAGTATGTTCCTTGGTTTTCGTAGTTGCGGAAGCTTGTAGCTTTTCTACGAAGCTAATAATTTAGAATACTTAACCCTTCGCGGTAAGATTTAATCATGAAAAATTTTGCATGAAAGAAGGATTTTATTTTTAATAAAGAAAGCATGTTTTATTTTATAATTCACAGATTTCGTTAATTAAAAGTAGATTATGTACAGATGTTTACGCTTAATTTAGTAAGGTACTATTAAATATTAGGCCAATTTATTCTCAATTAGGAACTGCACAAATTTTGTGTATGTGAAAACATGTTACCTGTAACATTAGTCACATGGCGAGTAGCTCATCACTGTACGGTTTGGCATGAAAAAATAATGACGAGCTAGACTCGTTATTTTACCGCAAGAGGATACAGATCTTGTTGCGAAGAAGGTTATGAAGTTTTTTATAGATTTGATTCAATTGTCATTAGAAATTGGTCGATCATTTTTACAGCTTTTTATTGCCAGGACTGAGGATAAGTCTAATAGTGGAATATAGAAGTCCAAAGTCCTTTAGCGAGTACTAAGCTTGAGACAAGTCTAAGAGATTTATGTCCAAGATCGTGGATCTCCATTGAGTTTAAGGACAGACATGAGCGCAATAGAATCTAGGGAGTCTTATCTCTGAACCTCAAGACCAAGCTCAATCAATGAACCTTAAAACACTCCACCTACTATAATATTATAAACAGGCAACATACTCAAACTATTCAATCAAACTGTACATCACTGCAAGCTAATCTTTTTCTTTATAATGTTATCTGCTACCAACAAACCAATGAATCAGTTCCACCCCCGAATCATAGTTCAAACACCGAATATCCATCAGCGCAGCGTTGAAACTTCTCTTCCCATTCCAGCGAGCGGCTCGGCGACGAAAGTCGTCAAGGGAAAAGA